TTTTTTGTGTGTGTTTGGTAATCTTATATATATATATATATATATTGTTGCTTCGTAATTCGTGTTTGGTTTGGCGTAGTACAAGCAGATATGTACTTCTATTTATACCTATTAGAATTTTTAAAATTATAAAACACTTGACCAACTCAAACTATAAACATATTTTAAAAATTAATAACTTTCGCATTTGTAATTGAGTTAATCGTATAACGATTCCAATTTGACATCAATGCATAGATAAATAAATATGTATTTACATTTATAATAAATCTTAAGTTATATATAAATATTAATTAGAAAATAATAATATTATTCATCATTTGAATAAATTTATCTAATAACTAGAAAATAAATTTTATTATATAATATGATCACTTAGAAAGTTATCAAGTGATAAATATTATTTTAAATATAAAATAATAATCTAGTTTGTGATAATGATTTAAAGTATAAAGTAAAATCTTTCCTTTATGTATATACACGAGTGTATTCGTAGTAGCTCATGTACATTTGTATTCCATCTATACACTTTTGAACTTATAAAACACTTGACCAACTCGAAGTATAAATATATTTAAAATTTAATAAATTTGTATTTTGTTATCAATTTTTTATATAATATATGAAATAAATCATTTATTTTTTTTATTACAAAATTAAGTCACTATAAGAATAATGAAAATTTTAATAGAATTTTATATCAGTTCAAAAAAGCACCTTAAATTTATTTACATATAAATTAGAAAAGTTATTATAATAAAAGACCGAAAACTCGTACAAGTGAATAATATAATATATACATATATAAATAATTATGTATATAAAAAAAAACATTTGAAATTAGAATATTTTAACTTGTACCCGCGCGAGTGACTCACGCAATCACGGGAGTTAGTATTAGATAAGATTATAGGGGAATGCTACCATCTCGTTACGGGATGGTTCCGTTGTACTTTAAGCCGTAAATAGACATGTAATCTAGTAATATGTAGATAATTTACGATTCAAAAAATACAATAGAACCATTCCATAACGAGATGATAGCATTCTCCAAAATATTTTCACAATTTTATTACCACAAGCAACGAAATTTCACAACACAAGAACCAATATTATTGGTAATATTTAATACATCCAACACTACTACCATTTTCCCCCAAACAGACATAGGCAATTGAACACTAGTAACCATGCACATGCCTTTATTCCACTATTATTATTATTATTATATTATATTTGTGGAAAATGTATGTAGTAGTGTTTTATTTTTCAATAAGCCGACTACTCAGTAGTAGTAGCAGAAGGAGCAGCAGCAGCAGGAGGAGCAGCATCAGCAGCACCAGAAGATTTCTTATCGTCCTCCTCAGTACCCTCTTCAGTGGCATCAATACCCTCTTCAGTGGCATCAAGATCATTGTACTTGGAGTCGAGCGACGGATATATGACACTTAAATCGGTGGCATGAGTCATGGCTCGAGGGGACAAACCGGCTAACGACAGTATTCCAACAAACTCGGGTGAACTGCCAGCGCCAATCCCCACGCTCGCAAACCCTCCATTTTCGCTAACCGAAAAATTGTTAAATTGTCTCAGCATTAAAGTGTCGATGGTGGCCCAGTTCAACGAATTCAAACTAGTCGACAGTCGAACCTGGGCGAACACCTGCGTTACGAAGAAAGAAATAGTACTATATATTGAGTTTGTTACTGTAATATCATATACTAATATATAATAATAATAACAATAACAAAATAAAAAAGCCCCGAAAAAGTAGCTAGCAACTAGCTAGCGCTACTCACGTGGTTTTGGTAATTCATGCGGGTGTTGTCCCACGAGATCAACCAATCACGGTTGCTCCCGGAATTGTCCCTGCCTCTATAGACGAGGGCCCCCTTAGCCGGGCCGAGTAGGCGGTTGCGGACAAAGAGGAAGCCGAACCACTGCCCGTTTTGGACGACCTGAGGGAAGGATGCCCGCCAGGCGCTGCCTTCCCACGAGTGGGCACGCATGAGGGATATGGTGCCGCCGGTCGCATTGTACACCATGCCCAGTGTGGAGGTCCCCGTGCCCCACGCAGCCTTGAGGTTGTGCACGAACCTATATATATATATCAAAAAAATTAATTAGAGATAGCATTTCATCATATGAGGGAATATTGAAAATTGGATAAATTAAGCGGGTAAAATGAAAAATGTGCATCCTGTACTGTGTCAGTTTTTTACATTGTACATTTTCTGTGGTAAAATGCAGTATAAACTTCATAAACATTCGTAATTTTGCAAGCTCTCATATGATTGTATGGTCAAGATGCAAGAGAGGTTGCAACAAATTATGAAATGTTGAAGAAGTTCAAATTGCATTTTACAACAAAAATTACTATTTTTTTTTTTATGCTGCAAATATGCAGAATACCGGCATAGTACAGGTTGTACAAATTTCTTTTTTTTTTTCCCCTAGCCTTTCATCATGAGATTTGTATGTCTCGGTTTGCGAACGAACGTGGTCACGTTGGTAGCTTTCTCCCCGGCGTTTATGTGCAGCAAGGCTGCTTCTGCCCGGTGCAAGTTAGTGATTGGGTTGGCGTTGGGGAAGAGCAACTCCACTACTTCTTCGGTTATCGCCTGTCCGAACACGTTGGATGCCGCCATGCTAGCTAGCTTGCTTGGTTTATTTATTTATTTATTTATTTATTTATTTTTTAGTATCTTTCAAGGGTGTGTTGATGCAAATGTATGCTAACACGGTAATGTATTTATAGCTCCTAAAATGAAGGACCACTCACCAGAATTGTTTCAAATATAATGAAGAACGAATACTAAAATTGAGTTACATATTACTAAAACAATAATCCTACCGTCCAGATTTTGTATTAAAAATGAAACGTTTCGAGGATCATGACCTTTTTTAGCCACTTGAATAATCGAGACGAATGATTTGCTCGCTTCGGTGATTTGCTCGCTTTGGTTCTTAAAGTTCTAATTTCATTTGTTCATCTTGTTCTTGTGCCAGTATGTAAAAAGTACTCGTTCAGATGTTAGCGGATTGAACCTCTCTTTGAAGTTTGACCCATCAAATACGCGAACTAGTTTGTTTGATAAATAATATTGGAGTAGCGTTTTGGCTAAAAGCGTTAACTTTGATAAAGCAATCAATGGTCCAGTTTGGATGTCAGCGGATTTATGTAAGACTAATGGATTAAATGTCAAGATATGCTAATTAATTAGCTTGTTTAGTAAAAATCTCTTATGTTCAGCTAAAAAATCTAATGTTGAAAATGATTCGTAGAATGACATATTCACATAAAATTGTCAAAATAGGTATCTAAAATTATTTACAAACAACTAATACAATATAGTCGAATCAGGTATTATAATCCACTATCCGCTAATACAATCACCTATTCGTTGATAACTATTAGCAAAATAATTTTTTCTCATATTTTTAATTCGTTTCGTTTTTTATAGGTTATGAATTCTTTTTATTAATATCTATATTTTGGGTTTGCTCGAGAGCTAGGTCCGGACACGTACACACAAGTCGTGCACGCCCGAGACCCAAGTCCAGCTAGGAATACCTTGACGCAGGTGTGGCCTAGGCCCCCTCGCGGTACTCTCTCTCAACATCAGCCCTTCGCGCGCGCCCACGGAATTCATACAAAGGCCGAGCATTACCCGCCAATATTCACAACTTACTTTAAGCGGAGTAGATCTCATCACTTTTATGATCGGAATTGCGTTGGCTGAAAGTTGATGTCACTGACAACTATGAAATTATGAAAAATATTATTCCTAATATATATATATATATATATTATAAAATATATATTAAAAATTGATGTCAATAACTGTTGACATAAATAGAATATTTTTTTATCGACAAATAAAAATTGTCATTTATTTTTTTCGTCAAACACAAAGTTATCATAAAAAGTGTGATTTATTGACAAAAGTAAATGATGTTATGAAAAAAATAACATTTTATATGACAACAATAAAATTCGTCTTTTTTACTTGAGAAATTACAACAAAATCTGTTTGGTAGAAAAAAAAATTAAATAAAAAAAAATCGTCACATATAATTTCTGGGTCACTCTTTCCCTCCACTCGGTTTTGATTTTTTTCTATATGAATTATATGAACCCAAATTATTGCAAACCGACAACTCTGGATACATTATTTCTTGCCAGCTGCTTGCCTTAGCCAAACCACGCGCATACATGTGACCGACCGAGGAAACAAACAAAATAAGGAAAATTTCAAAATTAGTCCCACATCTATATGGGTTACATTTTTTGTCCTAACGGAATTCAGAAAATATAAATAGTCCCGTAGTTTTTGAAAAATAATCAAAAGTAGGAATTTTTTTAATTTTCCGGCCTAAAATGCCACGTCGCACACATGTGGTGGGACTCTTTAAGATTTTATGGATTCTTTTGGGACCAAAAATGTCACCTCCCAAAACCCGTGAGACTAGTTTTGATTTTTTTTTCTTGCCATTGTACTCAGCCACGTCAGATGAATGTGGCCACGTGTGTATAACGTGGCATTCCGGGCCAAAAAATTGAAAAAGTCCTACTTTTGATCATTTTTTAAAAGTTGCGGGACTATTAATACTTTCTGAATTTCGTTGGGACAAAAAATGTCACCCCTATACCTATGGGACTAGTTTTAAATTTTTCTGAACAAAATATATTGTAACAAAATAAAAATGTCACGTTTTTTATTAGCTCTCAATATATAATATCAGACTCCATTATTATTTTCATTCATTGGATGCCACACAACACAAATAATGTAACTGAGATTTGTACCAAAAAAAAAAAAAAAAAAATAACTGAAATAGAGTTTAAGGATAAGCTAAGACGTTATTGGCCGAACGAGATATATGTGGGACCATTAATATATAAATATATGGGAAAAAAAAAAAAATTGGACCATTCAAAACAATAGAGTTTATAGAAACAAATAAAATGCATGGCTGTCATAAAATAATAATGTCACGTTTATTAATTATTAGCGGACAATATAAGATTCCATAATTTTTATTCATTGGTGTATAGAGAGATAAACAAAGCTACAAATTCAATGTCTGATATACATCAAGTCAAACAAAGAAAAACCAAAAGCAAGAGCAAGAATATGTACAAGGAAAATTTGACAAATGCCATATCCTGGTCCGGAGGAGTCCCGGTGAAAAAGTCAGCATCACCGTGTGGCAGATGCGTCAAAAGGTAGGACTGACTACACAAATCTGAATGAATGGTATCTAATCTGGTTCGGATGCGGAGACAGAGAGAAATATCGTCAAGATAAAGAATGCGTCTCTTAAGGTGGAAGAACCGATGCCAACGAGGAAGTCAGCAGGCCGGTTCCCCTCGCGAAGATGTGTGAGATCCGAAAGCAAATCGATCGAAGAATGATTCTGATACGCATGAGATAATGTTGAATCTGTCATGGTCAGATGACAAGAGAGTGATGACAGATGATTCTAACTTGGCCTGTGTCAAATGTTGCATTATAAATAAAAAATAATATTTGGGGAGCAAAAGCCAAAATTTATTTTTCACATTAAAAATGGGAAATGTTTGAGGAGTAACTTCAAATTGGTAGTCATGTAACTACAAAAACGACCTAATAATTAACCCAAAACATAGATCAGAATGAAATAAAAAATGTCACGTGGACGTGGAGAATAAACAAAGGCCCCCACAAATGAAATCAATGACTATTAGCTCTAAATATTCTGACTCCACACTTTTTTGCCTAGTTCGAGTTCGAAGTTTTAACGAGCCGAGTTTAAGTTTATTTAAAGCTAGTTTGGCTAGCTTGACTCGATAAAACTCGTTAAGGCTTGAAAATATAATTTTTATATAATTTTCTATAGTTCGATTCATTAATTATAGCTTGAGATCGGCTCGAGCTAGCGGCCTTAACGAGCTGATCTCGACCTCAATTTTAAGCATTTACTTAGCGAATCGAGATCGCTCGTTGAGGACTCGAGTTTGAGCTCCCTAAGCTCGAGCTTGGCTCGGCTGTTTACAACTCTTTTTGCCACACAAATAATGGAACGAGATAAAAGTTTGAAAAGGAAGAATAAGAACCGTTAATAAATAAACAAGTTGATATGACCCAAGTCCAGCTAGGAATACTTGACGCACGTGCGGCCTAGGCCCCCTCGGAACTCTCTCTCAACATCAGCCCTTCGCGCACCCACGAAATTCATACAAGGGCCGAGCATTATCCGCCAATATTCACAACAAGAAATTTGATATTTTATGATAAAAATATTCATCATAAAATTTCTGTATTTTTTTTTTTGTCAATAAAAATAGAAATTTTCATTTATTTTTCGTCAAACACAAAGTTATCATAAAAAGTGTGATTTATTGACCAAAGTAAATGGTGCTATGAAAAAAATAATATATTATATGACAACAATATTCG